GGCCCATCGGTCCAGCCCGTCCCGGTCCCTCTGCAGGGCCATCCCACCCTCCAGCAGAGAGCTCAGAAGCTCGAGCAGCTTCTTGGCTTCAATGTGTGCCTTAGTGTAAGGGAGAAGAGGGTGCCCTGGGGAGACGACAGGTGGCTTTTCAGTGGCAACGCCAGCTCGCGTGTGGGGAAAACAAACTAAATACTTTGAGAAAGCAAAGAGATCGGAGGCTCACTGAGCCTGTGGTCCAGAAATCTTGGTCTGCTGCAGTAGTGGATGCTGTGGGTGCCAACCAAATGCGAAACCAGGTAAGGGAATAAGTGTAAAAGACAGGGAAATCACTTTTATTAGAAAGGGCAGACTTTTCTTTAAGCTCAGGTCTTCTTGCTCTCTCCTTGTGTTGCTGAAAAGCAACAAAAAATTGTGTCTTTGCGCCTAGCTCATTAGGCAGCAGTATTAGGGCACTGACTTCAAACACAAAGCCGGGATCTCTCGCTGCTCCAGAGTGGGTTTGCTATTGGAAGGGACTAGGTCTCAAAACCAAACCTTTTCTCTGTATCTTGGGTGTGTTACGTTGCACATTTTGAAAAACGCTTTTCTTTCCGGTTCCTGATGCTGCTCCGTGGTGTAGCAGTGTTCAAGGTAGCTTGGGGTTTGGAAAACCGGTGGTGTCTGCGGGTGCTGTTGCCGCTTTGCTGCTTGCGACACCGGCTGCTTCTGTCGCTACTTGCAGCCAGGTTGTCTGCAGAAATGAAATGCTGCCTTCTCTTATAAGCTCACTGGGGTAATAAAAAGAAAGCAAAAGCAGAGCTGATACCCTCTTGATGGCTGTGTTCGCTTTGCATCCCTGTTTAGTCAGCAGAATGCGGACAGTGTCTCTTGGTGGGGGCAGTCATTAATATTCCATATTCCTGAGCTATTTCCAGACTCTAAAGCAAGAGCCATTTACAGCTATTTCACTCTTCTCCAAGAGTGAATCCCCCCAAAGGTTATACCTGCTGGAGATTAAAGATTGATAGCACTCGAGCCAGGATTCAAAATAGCTTTTTAGTCTAGCAGCCGATTTAGTGCCAGCGAAGATACAGCTGCTTCCTTCCACCGGGCAGCCGGTATTACAGGGAATGAACGTCTCCGCTCGGCGCCTCGTCCTGCGCATCACGATCTCTGCCTTGATGGTCCGGGCTGCCCCGAGCTCTGCCTCTGACCCTTTCCCTTCCGTGCCGTGTTCCCCAGGGAGGTACCATACCTCGAGGCATCTGAACCCTGCCCTCTTAAGCTCGCCTGCATAGCCCGGCGCATCTTCCTCTGGGTATCGCGGATGGCAGCACAGTCCCTCAAGTCCAGGAGCTGACAGCTCAAGTATTGATCTTAAAAGAATAGCTTAAAAATTAGCTTGAGCGAAGAGGAGCGATAGTTTGCACGACACCGCAGGAAAGGTCTGAGTCAGGACTTGACTGCAGCCAGGAGTTACACAGGTGTGGAGTAAGGACTTAAAAATTACAAGGTGTCGAATCAAAGGTCCTGATCCTCCAGCTCCGTGTCTGACGAGCCCGTTCGCAAAGGGCAGGAGGAGAGGAGCGAGGCGAGCACGCAGCGCTGCTCTCCTGGAGCAACCTCCTGGCACCAGCGTCGTGGGTTAGGGGCTTCCCGAGATACAGGTGATGCCCTGCTACTTAATGGTCCTCAGTAGATTTGCTTCTCTTTGTGTGATTTTGTCCGATGACTCCTGGGATGCGGCAGCAGAGGTCTGCATCTTAATTACGTGGTGTCTGGAGAACCGTGTCCCTTTGTTTGTACTGAATCTGCCAGCTGCTGACTTCAGCTGATATCCCCGGCCTCAAATCAGAAGGGAGAGGGAACAGTTGCTGCCTGTTCGCCTTCGCTTTGTCTTTTGACTTCGCTGTTGTGGGGCACGGGGTCGGTGCGTTGCAGAACCGCTCATTTATCGTGTCACGGTCGTGTCTCTGAGCAGCACCGCTCAGCTCGGGACTGCGGCTTTCTGTGTGCCTGCTGCTTCGCGGTTTTCTGGGTGATTTTCATCTGCCACAATGTATTGCTCCCGCTCATTTTTACCGCCATAACTTAACGTAGATTACCCGGCTTTCTGCCCTTTTGGAGCTCGTCCGTGGGTGCGCATTAAGAGCCCCAGCGATGGGGTTCGGCGTCGCTCTCGAAGGCTAAAGCCACCCTCGCTTCGTTCTGCCCAGCCTTTAAACCCTTGCAGTAGGTGATGGCAGGGCACGGCGTTGCACGGGGTGCGCCGCGCTGCGTGGCAGCGCAGGTTGCACAAAGAGGGCTGGAAAACTGCGTCTCATCTGAAATTTGGGTGAGGCCGTAGCATCTGTGACCCTGAACTTTGCTCTGGCCCCCCATACTATGCCTAAATGAAGATCTTTGCCCGTTTGGGTGTTTTTTCAAGCAAATACGGATGTAGCAGGACCCTTCAGATCTCGATCAGTTTGCTTGATTAAAATCCAGTTTTATTTTCTATACACTGTTGGCTGAAGTACCGCAACATCTGTGTGCTGCATGAAGAAGGAATCCACTGCTTGCTGCAATGCCACTTCTAAATAAATTCTGAAGAACCTGTGGCAGGAGATAAAAATACTGTAGGACAAAAAAAGCTCAAATACAAACTCTGTGGGCATCGAGTGTGTTCATTGAAGGTCACAATCGCATGCGGCAGTTGAAAATCTGAGTCTCCAGGGTTCAAACCCCCAAAGCAGGAGATTTAAAAAACATGAATTGAGTTTTTTTTTCTATGCATGCTCTTGGTGAGTGTATACGGTGCAAGCTTCTTTCTGCAGCTGAGTACTGGAGTTCACCTTCAAACAGAATAAGATGACTCTCTCCTGTAGTTACCTGCTTGTAAAAGCCTGGTTTTAAGAAAAATGCCAAGCGGCAGCACAGCCCCGATGAGAGTGTGACAGCTTGCAAGGCTGCATTTTCTTTAAATTGCAAAATATCGGATAAAAAATAGCCATTTATTTCAAAAATTGCTAGCTGTGAAGTCAAGCGCGGCTTTTACCCAGAGTAATTTTATCTGAAAGGAGGGTAACGACCATTTTCCTGAGTGTATACTGGTAATTAAAGCTCTTTGGAAAGGCTGTTTTTCAAGCAGGATGGACGTTTCTCCTGAGGACCCTTGTACAGCCGCGGTGATAAATGAGCGTCTCTCCTGGCTTCGGGAGATAACAAATGTCATTCTCTGCCTGGCAGAAGCGCGCGGGCGTCCTGAGCCCCTGGGCTTCGGCGAGAAGGCGCCCGCTCCCTCTGAACAACCCCGCCTCAGCGCCGGACTCAAACTGCGGGAGACAAATATTCATTTAGCTGGGGATTCTGCCTGCCGACCCCCTGCTTCCCGCAGCGTGCAGCTTCCCGGCCGAGACGGCTGCGTGCCGGGTGATCTGGCTGGAGGAGCATCGGGTGCCGGCGGGGGGACCAGGGACAGGCAGCCCCTCGCTTGTCCGCCACTCCCGCGCGCGCTCCGCTGCAAAAGAGAGGAGTCATAGAATCATCGAATCATGGAATCGTTGAGGTTGGAAAAGACCTTTAAGATCATCCAGTCCAACCATTAACCCACACTACCAAGTCTCGTCTCTGCTTTCGGGAGGCGTGCCCCTGCGCGGGCCTGAGCCGCAAACCTTTTCCTAAGGCTGCTGGAGCTCGTCGCCGGCTTCGGAAATGTCCCGGCTGC